AGTACACCGAGATAGTGTGTTGGATAAATTGTTCGTCAGGAGAAAGCTAGACTGTTGAAACCGGTAAAAACGGAATTACCGATCACTGAACAAATTGTCGATCGAGTAAAGCAGATGAGAAGGGCTCTGCCATGGCGAAAAACAGCATACCAAAGAACCACGTAATAGAGTGGGATGCAAGTAGCATTATCTGCACAGAAGCTAAATGGCAAAAAATATAGGTCTTGGAAGATTTCAAGGAAAAAGCTGACAAAAGCTGCATTGACTGGCAGGAAAAATCATACAAGATCCGTCCAGCATGGCTCTCTCTATTATACGATAAAATTATCAATCAGTGTACGCAATTTGAACTCGCGTTTCTCGTTACCAACTCATCGTAATACTCATGCATATTTGGGCTAATACCAAAAACCTTCAAAATGCACCACTGTCCCTGCATCAGAAGCAGAGCTCGTCATCCAAGAATTGGAAGAACAGCTGTATCAGGCTTGACCCTACACAGGGGTGGCTCCCAACCTGGAAATGTAAGGTCGATGCGGATCTTGTTCCAGATTCAACAGGTTTGCGCGCCTTGAATCCAGACTACGCGATTACAATAATCAAACGGCAAATATCTTTTCAAATGAGCTAATATTTGTAAACCGTAATCCCACACCAGTGCTAATTGCCTGTGAAAGCTTCTTTTGACAAATACCTTATACTTTAAGTGATAGATTTCTATTCGTTGTTCCTTCTTGCGCATTAGTCGCTGCGTGCTTTCGTCCTGTCGCTTATATCAACATGTCACAGATAAAATTCATTGTCGCTAGCAACCTGTAGTTATATAATCAATCAGAGATTCTCAGATAATACCAATTTTACATTGTTTGGAAACTGGACAAAAGTATGTTGGGGTTCCAACGTAGAAAATCATTCATAATTATTAAATGTCACATTTGTACTTCATTTGTAACAGATGTCTATGTTCATGGTCTTCACTTGTTCACCTAAGGGTTAGCGGGCATCGCAACTTGACTTCCCTATATTGTTGAAATCGTTTCTCACTACGGGCACGTTTCTGTCAGTTTGCATTTATTTTATGTGGCAACTCAACCAAATCAGACAGGATATCAAAATTGTTTATTAGCGTGAATATGTTAGCTAACGCTTAATTCCTTCAAGACCAGAATTCACTGTGCATTGCACGGTCTCCTTGCTTTTAGTTTCTTAGGAGTGCAATCATGTTGTGGAGCAGTTATGCGTTATTTGATATATTGACGTGTGAATGTACTTTGATCGGTATCCGGCAGAGTATAAGGAGTGCCAGCTGATGAAACTTCGTTGATAATGAGCACGAAATGGCTGTAGTGAACAAAATGATAAAAGATGCGTCTGCAACTGCTCAAATATCAGGGACCATGGTCTGCTTAAATGTCCCTCAGGTTACTGCTAGCAATGGGCAATACAACATACTGTGAACTCTGGCCTCGCAGACATTATCTTCTTTGATTTACTTCGGCCTACGAACATATCTGACGTTTATGCGGTAGCATGTAAGGAGTGCCGCATGTACAGAGTAAAACTATCAATTGTGGTTAGAACCACCTTCTATGAAAACGCAGTACTGCCAAACGCTCTGTATGGCTGGGGGGAGACCTGACCGTTAAAGAAGAAGGATGGAGAACTTTTAAGAATGGAGCAGTGGGCTATTCAAAGATGATAAGAATTTTTGTCGTGGATAAGCTGCTAAATGAGGAAATGAGAAGGCGCACAGGAATGCAAGACTATTTCTGTTTCAAAAGAAAAGGGTGAAAATGGACAGGTCACGACTGCTGACCGATGGCGCATAGAAATTTCATGATGACTCACTGGTATCCAAGAGGGTGCAAAAGCCTATTTTAAGGAAAGCGGTTCAGATGGGAGAGCGAGCTGAAGGAGATATGTAAGGCTTTTTGCGACAGATCGATTGAGAGAGATGAGCATGAGCATCAAGAGTAGGAAGTGATAATTCCCGTTAATTTCGAAGAAGAATCAGTCATAAATGTCAGAAATGTAAGGAAGGCGATTCATGATACATCGTTGATAATGAAGTCGTCGTATCGATAGCGAACAAAATGCTGCAGATGCACTTAGTGCTGTTGGTGCTCAAAAATATTGTAGCCATTGACGCTAAATATTCCTGACAACTAGGAACAAGGGGCTGTACAATACACCGTGAAATTTTGGAGGAGTTATACGTCGTAAGGTTTTGAATTTGATTTGATTTTGAATAGTTGCTATCGAAATTATAAAGATGAGTACAACAGGCAGTATGATAAACATTGGTAGTACACATTTGAGCGAATCCTCTGAAATGAACTTTTCTCCTAAATGAAATTTTCATTTTATTTCTGTTTGACGGACCACTTCACATGCAGCATAGCTCTCCTGAACCATTGCACAATTTCTTAATTCCCA